CTGAACCAAGCTTGGGATGCATGCAAATATGGGCTCCTTTGTAAGGCCAAAAATGCAAGTAAACAAGACAATAAGGAGAGGGGATGGCCCTCTCCTTCTTAGGACCTCAAAACATCATCCCCACCACTGAAATCCCTCTAGATTTCAGTGGTGAGAAGGTCAATACAAGGTGGTCCCGAAGCTCACAAACAAGGCACAAAAATGAGGCCAAACAAGGCCTAAGAAGGGCTAGACAACCCCAAACACAAACGTGGTCTTAAACAAACTTCAAAAGGAGCTCAAAATAAGACTTTTTTCAGTTTATGACAAAGCTCGAAAATGCTTGCAAGTATGGCTAAAAGATGAAGCAAAATAAAGACCAAAAGAGGGTAAAGTGTGTTACCCTTGTAGCTTCAGCAAAACCAGCAGCTTTGAGACCAAAAAACCAGACCTTCAACCTCTGAAAATGGCCTCCAAGATCCTTAGGTTGATGATGGAGGTGTTAGGCTAAGAGTTGGTGTGCAAAGGGGCCAAGAGCTTCACTCTTTCTAAGCCTAAGTGTAGAGACAAAGAGAGATATATGTGTATGCCTTAGCAAAATTTTTTTGGAACCTTTTCTAATGAGGGAGAGGCTCTCTCTTATAGAGGAACAAAGGTCCAAGCTTCTCTTAGAAGCTTGGAGCAAAAGGGCCAAACTTCTCTTAGAAGCTAAAGCAAAAAGGGTCAAGCTTCTTGAGGAAGCTAGAGTAAAGGGGTCAAGCTTCCTCAAGAAGCTAAGAAAGGTTCAAGCTTCTTGGAGAAACTAAAAAGGGTCAAGCTTCTTGGAGAAGCTAAAAAGGTTCAAAAGGTTTAAGCTTCTTCAAGAAGCTAAAAAAAGGGTTCAAAAGGTTCAAGCTTCCTCAAGAAGCTAAAATAAGGGTTCAAAAGATTTAAGCTTCCTCAAGAAGCTAAAACAAAGGTGCAAATCCTCCATACACCTGCATAAAGCAGATGAATAGGGCCCGGCCAGCAGAAAAGGCCGATCGACCAACACAAAGGGCCGGCCGACTAAATACAGTGCCGACCGACCATCACTTTTGGCCGGTAGCAATAAAATAATGCTGGTGGCCTCATGCCATGGCCGGTGAGGTGTGGGGATGACCAACAAGCCATTCCCCGCCCTTAGAAGCAAAAACACAAGTGTTTGGTCCATGACCAAGCACAAAACAAATAAGTTGAGAGATCTTGAGGCGAGGCGCGTAGCCGAGACCTCCGAGAACTCAAAACGAACACGATCATGGATGATCATCGAGTGTTCAAACGATGACGTCCAAGTCTTAAGGACGGTCAAAAATGGGGTGTCTACAACATGCAATAAAGAGCATTTGATATTGGTTGTGTACCAAGTTGGGTTTCAATGGTGAATTCGATTTCCCGGTCAACTGGGGTACCAAGTAGGTTTTAAGGAAAGACATCTCGAAATTCTCTAACCACAGGGATACTGTTAAGTGTTGGGCCTCTTGTTGAGTATCAATCACATAACAAATATAACCACAACCACCTTTTCTTAGGAGTCGTTGGGCTATCATGGAAGTTATAACACATGGAGAGGTGGTGTAAAATCCAAGTTATTTATAGAATTATTTTTGGATAGATTAATAATTAAAATAAATTGTATGGGTAATTTAGTAATCTTAAGAATTAGGTTTTTTTTAACCCTTTTAAAAAGAAAAAAAAAAAAGGCTTTCACGTTATGTGGTATCACAACATTACAGAGGTTTCGGAAGAGAGACTACCGTAGAGATTGAAGGCTCAAAATTGGTGATATTTGGACACCCATTGGGGGAGGTAAAAGTTTTCCTGTATTACTGATTATTAGTTTTATTTTGAGAATTGGATGTTTGGGTGCAACGTGTAAGAGTGGAGCAATTTGGGTAGGTGTGTTTTGACTTTTGGGTTTTGTACATTGGGTAAGGTATGTTTGGCTATTGAATTGGGTGGATAGATTTGGTGTCTCTTGGATTTTAAGCATATATATATATATATATATATAATGGGTTCTTGTTGATGTGTGAAAGACATCAAAATATTAATTTATTTGAGGTTCTATTTATTAGGTTTGTGTGATTGAATTAGTGGAGCTGAGTGTCTGGAGGTAGTGTGGTGGAATATTATTTTAAGCGTTTGATGTAAGTAAGCCTCTATTACTGTTGGTTCATTTTTATTCCTATTGAATTGTTTGAAATTATAAATATTTATTTATAGCCTTCATCTTCTCTTAAAATAAAATATGGGTCAAGTATAAAATAAAATTGAATATTATTATGAAAATTATTTGAATATTTTGTGAAACTAGTCTGAAAATTGTACCAAAGGTTTATTATGAAAATATCGAATATTTTATTTAAAAGTTGTGTATTGTTTGAATTTTGAACATCACTCTAGTCTGACTACGATTTGGACCCTAGACAATGGGGGTTATTTATTGGCACAGAAATTAGTTTCTTTTGGGGCTTTACCACCGGCCTATGTGTGGTTCTGGGCCTTGTTACGGGCTAAGTGACCGTAGTCACCAAGACTTGGGTTTTGTGAATCGCATCATTGAACCATTGAATATCGAACCATCAATTTTGAACAACGAAATTTCGTCAAATTACCTCATTGTCTTTTCAGTTAAAATGTATTGCTACACTGTTTATTTTCAGCTATGAAACCATCTTACAAAATAATTGTTCATTTATTGAATGGTAGCAAATAAATATATTTATTGGTTATCAACTATTTTTTTTATATACTTGATCCAGCTAGCAGTAATGGTTGGTTATTTACTGGGCTGTCTAGCTTACCCTTATTTTTTTTTCAAATTCTGAGGAGTAGAGCTGCGTGGAATTTTTACTTGTGGGAGTGCCGAGAGTAAGACTATGATTTAAGTATTTAGATTATTGTTTTGTTAGTGGATTTCATTAGTGGACTTGGTGGAAAATTTCATATGATAAGAATTATCAATTTTTATGGATTTTAGCATTATGAAAATTAAGGATTTAATTGGAGTATTTTTACATTGTTGGTTATGTGTTGGACTCTTAGCCTTGCATGCTCACTTAAATGAGTGTGCGGTGTTGTCACGGAGCTTAGGGCATGACAATTTTATGGTATCAGAGCCAGGTTGTAATTTGAAAGGCTAGTATAGAATAGTGATAAGATTGGGAAGATGTAGGATTGGGAACGCTTATAATTTGGTATAATGTTAATTTTATTTATATGTTATAGGGACTTGAGAATAGAATAAGATGAGTTTTATTATTGATACATATAGGTTGCAATGGAACATGAGGAGACATTGGCAAATATGGTTAGGAATACACGCCAGGGTCAAACGAATCGACGGACTGGTAATAACAATCGGCGAGGGAATGTAACTAATATTGGTAGTGGTTCTTAAGCAGTCAGAGGAAATCAGGGGCAAGAGTTGGGACAACAAGAACAAGTTGCAATCCCCAATCCGGTTGGAATGATTCAAGTGCTTCAAACTTTGGCCAGGGTGGTGCAACAACAAACCACCATAGGGAATAACTTGACTAGACTTATAGAGCAACAACAACGGATGCAGCCAGGTGTTGGGCCACAACCGAAGCCGCGTTTTAACAATACTGAGTTTAAGAAGATAGCCTTGGCATTTGACGGAGCCACAGACCCTTTGGAGGCTGAAAAATGGTTGACAGAAATGGAAAAGTTGTTTCCCGTTTTTGAGTGTACGGATGATCAGAAGGTGACATATGCTACGTTTATGCTACAAGGAATAGCTAATGATTGGTGGCAGATGGAGAAGTGCATACATGAGCATGATACCAACCCTTATACATGGGAAAAGTTTAAGAATGCATTCAATGAGAAATACTTCCCTAGGAGTGTTCGTCTACAAAAACAGAAGGAATTTTCGAAGTTAGAGCAAGGGAATAAGACGGTTGCAAAATATGAAGCAGAGTTTACGAAGTTGTCTAAATTTGTATCCGCATTTGAAGCAGACGAGGATAGCAGAGCACGAAAGTTCGAAGGTGGGCTAAGAACGAACATTATGCAACAGGTGGCTCCTTTCGAGTTACCTACTTTTGGAGCAGTGTTGAATAAGGCATTGTTGGTTGAGAGTGGCCTCACTAGAGCCCAAGAAGAGAAAGAAGAGAATTATAAAAGAGACCTTGTTCTACCAACTTTCAAACTAACAATAGTTCGAAGGGCAATGCTAAGAGACAAAGCACTTCTTCAGTTGGGAGTTGGGAAAGTCGAACTATGGGTGGTAGTGTTGATAAGAAGAATGATCGGATATAGTGCACTAGATGTAATGGGTTCCATCAGGATAGTGAGTGTCGCTGGAATACTAGGGCTTGTTTCTTTTGTGGGCAACAGGGGCACAAGATAGCTGATTGCCCTAATCAGAAGGGACGTGAGACTGAACAAAAGGCATGGACAAATAAAGGAACATCAACAGACAGAGGGTCTTCAGGAAATCAAAAGAAAAATGGAGGTCATAAGCCAAAGAGTCCGGGTCGAGTGTACACACTCACGCAACAAGATATTCAGACTTCCAACACGGTGGTATCAGATACTGTTTTAGTGTCTTCTGTTTATGCACATGTGTTATTTGATTCTGGCGCTACAAATTCATTTGTGTCTATGGGATTTGTTAGAAACATGGATGGAAATTTGTCTCTAGAGAGATCGACTTATGTGTTGAAACCCCGATATGAGGTGTTATGGTTGCTGACTTAATTTACAAATCTCGTGTGGTTAGTATAGATGACAGGAAATTGCTTGTAGACTTAACTGTTTTAGATATGCGAGACTTTGACATAATTCTTGAAATGGATTGGTTGGCAACCAATTATGCTTCTGTTTATTGTCGAGGAAAAAGGGTAGTGTTTCAGATTCCTGATTAACCAGAATTTTGTTTTGTGGGTAGTGGAGTTAACACTCCTCTTTTGGTAATCTCAGCTTTGCAAGCTAAATGATTGTTGAGGAATGGTTGCGAGGGTTATTTAGCTTCTATGAGAGATACCCATGAAACTGAATTAAAGTTAGAGGATATTCTAGTTGTGAGGGAATTTCCCGATGTTTTTCCTGAAGACTTACCAGGGTTGCCACCAGATAGAGAGATTGAGTTTGCCATCGAATTGATACCCAGTACGGGTCCTATCTCCAAAGCTCCATATCGGACGGCCCCAGTAGAGTTGAAAGAGTTGAAGGAATAGTTACAAGAGTTACTAAATAAGGGCCTTATTAGGCCTAGTGTTTCTCCTTGGGGTGCGCCCGTTTTATTTGTGAAAAAGAAAGATGGTAGTTTTCGCCTTTGCATTGATTATCGAGAGTTGAACAAGGTGACAATTCGAAATAAATATCCTTTGCCTAGGATAGATGACCTATTTGATCAGTTGCAAGGAGCACAAGTCTTTTCTAAGATTGACCTTCGTTCTAGTTATCATCAGTTGAAGGTTAAGGCGGAAGATATACCTAAAACAGCCTTCCGAACTAGGTATAGGCATTATGAATTTTTAGTGATGCCGTTTGGGTTGACCAATGCGCCTGCAACTTTTATGGATTTAATGAACAGAGTATTTAAACCCTTCTTAGATCAGTTTGTGGTAGTTTTTATTGATAACATTCTTGTGTACTTGAAGAGTAAGGAGCAGCACGAAAAACATCTGAGAATAGTGTTGCAGATATTAAGGGAGAAGAAATTATTTGCTAAATTAAAGAAGTGTGAATTTTGGCTGGAGAGTGTATCATTTTGGGGTCATGTGATATCTAGAGATGGGGTATCTGTTGACCCCAAGAAAGTGGAGGCGGTGGTAGAGTGGAATAGGCCTACTAGTGTCACTGAAATTCGTAGCTTCTTGGGTTTAGCAGGTTATTATAGAAGGTTTGTTTAGGGATTTTCCCGAATTTCTATTCCTTTGACTCGTTTAACACAAAAAGGGGTTAAATTTGAATGGTCTGATGATTGTGAGAAGAGTTTCCAGGATCTAAAGAGTCGATTGGTGTCTGCTCCAGTGCTTATAGTTCCGTCTGGAGATGAAGATTTTACCATCTATAGTGATGCATTGAAGATGGGCTTGGGTTGTGTCCTGATGCAGAATGATAAGGTAGTGGCATATGCGTCTAGGCAGTTGAAGCCATATGAGCAGAATTATCCTACGCATGATTTGGAGTTGGCTGCTGTGGTGTTTGCATTGAAAATTTGGAGGCACTACCTGTGTGGGGTGAAATGTGAGATATTCACTGATCATAAAAGTTTGAAATATATTTTCACTCAAAAAGAATTGAATATGATGCAAAGGCGATGGTTGAAGCTATTAAAGGACTATGATTTGACAATCAATTATCATCTAGGAAAAGCCAATGCAATGGCGGATGCCTTGAGTAGAAAGACCTAGAGTAATTTGGCTACCTTGATCACTAACCAAAAGAATATCTTAGAGGACTTACGAAGGTTGAATATTGAGATTAGATGGCACAACCATGGAGTGCAGTTGGCAAACCTTAGGGTTCAACCCACATTGATTGATAGAATTAAAGATGCTCAAAGAAGAGATCCTCAGTTGCAAAAACTTAAGGCTGAAATGGAAATAGGGCTTCAGATGGAATTTTGTATGCATAAAGATGGAACCTTGAGATTTGGAGAGAGGTTATGTGTGCCTAATGATTTTGAGCTCAAGAGAGAAATCCTGAGAAAAGCTCACAACTCAAGGTATATGGTACACCCAGGGAGCACTAAAATGTATAAAGACTTGAAGATGAACTTTTGGTAGAATAATATGAAGAGGGAAATTGCTCAGTATGTTACTCAATGTTTGGTATGTCAACAAGTGAAAGTTGAACATTAGAGACCTGCAGGTAAGTTACAACCTCTTCTTATTCCCGAGTGGAAGTGGAAACATATTACCATAGATTTTGTGACAGGGTTGCCTAAAACCCAAGGTGGGAACAATGCTATTTGGGTTATCGTTGATCGATTGACAAAATTCGCCCATTTTCTAGCTTTTAAGGTGGGATTCTCTCTAGAGAGGTTTGCAAAATTGTATACCAAGGAGATTGTGAGGTTGCATGGTATTCCAATGACCATAGTGTCTGACAGAGATAGCAGATTTGTATCTATGTTTTGGAGAAGCTTGCATGCGGCTTTGGGTACTAAGTTGAATTTTAGCACTGCCTTTCATCGTCAGACTGATGGATAGTTAGAGAGAACTATTCAAACCTTGGAAGACATGTTGAGGGCTTGTGTTATTGATCTTGGAGGTTCTTGGGATGAGCATTTGGCCTTAGTGGAATTCTCTTATAATAACAGTTATCATGCAAGCATTCAGATGGCACCAAATGAGGCTTTATACGGACGAAAGTGTAAATCACCTATTTTTTGGGATGATGTGGGTGAAAGGAAGTTGTTAGGGCCTGAGATTGTGCAACAAACAGTGGACAAGATCAATCTTATTAGAGAGCGACTTTGCACTACATAGAGTAGACAGAAAAGTTATACAAATAATAGGAGACGCGATTTGGTGTTTGGGGTTGGAGACCATGTGTTCCTTAAGGTGTCTCCTATGAAAAGAGTAATGAGGTTTGGTGTTCGAGGTAAATTGAGTCCTAGATTTGTTGGACCATTTGAGGTTTTAGATCGAGTTGGAGAGGTAGCTTACAGACTTGCCCTACCACCTTCACTAGCTGGAGTTCATAATGTTTTCCATGTTTTAATGTTAAGGAAGTATATACCAGATCCTAGTCATGTGATTGATCATGCACCGTTGCAGTTTAAGGAAAATTTGAACTACAAGGAACACCTTATACGAATTGTTAATGGGAAAGAACAAGTTTTAAGGCGTCGAGTCATCCACTACGTTAAGGTTCAATGGAGCAATCACTCGGAAAGAGAAGCTACTTGGGAACTCGAGGATGAAATAAGATAAAAGTATCTACAACTTTTTGAGACTCCAGGTATGTCAAATTTCGAGGATGAAATTTCTTTTAAGGGGGAGGAGAATGTAAAACCCAAGTTATTTATAGAATTATTTTTGGATAGATTAATAATTAAAATAAATTGTATGGGTAATTTAGTAATCTTAAGAATTAGGTTTTTTTTTAACCCTTTTAAAAAGGAAAAAAAAAAGGTTTTCACGTTATGTGGTATCACAACATTACAGAGGTTTCGGAAGAGAGACTGCCGTAGAGATTGAAGGCTCAAAATTGGTGATATTTGGACATCCATTGGTGGAGGTAAAAGTTTTCCTATATTACTGATTATTAGTTTCATTTTGAGAATTGGATGTTTGGGTGCAACGTGTAAGAGTGGAGCAATTTGGGTGGGTGTGTTTTGACTTTTGGGTTTTGTACATTGGGTAAGGTACGTTTGGCTATTGAATTGGGTGGATAGATTTGGTGTCTCTTGGATTTTAAGCGCGCGCGCACACACACACACACACACACACACACACACACACACACATATATATATATATATAATGGGTTCTTGTTGATGTGTGAAAGACATCAAAATATTAATTTATTTGAAGTTCTATTTATTAGGTTTGTGTGATTGAATTAGTGGAGCTGAGTGTCTAGAGGTAGTGTGGTGGAATATTATTTTAAGCGTTTGATGTAAGTAAGCCTCTATCACTGTTGGTTCATTTTTATTCCTATTGAATTGTTTGAAATTATAAATATTTATTTATAGCCTTCATGTTCTCTTAAAATAAAATATGGGTCAAGTATAAAATAACATTGAATATTATTATGAAAATTATTTGAATATTTTGTGAAACTAGTCTGAAAATTGTACCAAAGGTTTATTCTGAAAATATCGAATATTTTATTTAAAAGTTGTGTATTGTTTGAATTTTGAACATCACTCTAGTTTGACTGCAATTTGGACCCTAGCCAATGGGAGTTATTTATTGGCACAGAAATTAGTTTCTTTTGGGGCTTTACCATCGGCCTATGTGTGGTTCTGGGCCTTGTCACGGGCTAAGTGACCGTAGTCACCAAGACTTGGGTTTTGTGAATCGCATCATTGAACCATTGAATATCGAATCATCAATTTTGAACAACGAAATTTCGTCAAATTACCTCATTGTCTTTTCAATTAAAATGTATTGCTACACTGTTTATTTTTAGCTATGAAACCATCTTACAGAATAATTGTTCATTTATTGAATGGTAGCAAATAAATATATTTATTGGTTATCAACTTTTTTTTTTTGTATACTTGATCCAGCTAGCAGTAATGGTTGGTTATTCACTGGGCTGTCTAGCTTACTCTTCTTTTTTTTTCCAGATTCTGAGGAGTAGAGCTGTGTGGGATTTTTACTTATGAGAGTGCCGAGAGTAGGACTATGATTTAAGTATTTGGATTATTGTTTTGTTAGTGGATTTTATTAGTGGACTTGGTGGACAATTTCATATGATAAGAATTATCAATTTTTATGGATTTTAGCATTATGAAAATTAAGGATTTAATTGGAGTATTTTTACATTGTTGGTTATGTGTTGGACTCTTAGCCTTGCATGCTTACTTAAATGAGTGTGCGGCGTTGTTACGGAGCTTGGGGCGTGACAGGTGGACACTCCAATTCCATCAAAGACAAGCTCTAGTTGGATTGGTAACCGGAGGGAGACTTTTTTGGCTTTATAATCGATAGAGGTGTGGTTGGCAACTAGCCAATCCATTCCCAAGATCATATCAAAGTTACCAATGTGGAGGGGAATCAACTCTACGTACAAGGTTTCACCTTTTAAGGATATAGCACAAGATTTGTACACCTCAGTACTAATGACAGAATTACCAGAAGGAAATGACATAGATGGTATATATCCTAAGGGTTCGGGTGTTGATGCTAACTTGGAAGCAAAGTTTGGCGCAACAAAAGAATGAGTTGAACCAGAGTCAAAAAGAAGATAAGCTAAAGGACCACAGATCGAAAGTATACCTGATACTACGTTCTAGGTAACTTACGGGTTTCCAAGCACCAAGGCAAAAGCTCTTCCTTGGCATTTTTGGTCCTTCCTCACTCCTCCAAGTATCGTAGGTTTTGGAGCTAGTTTAGAGGGGCCTTCTATAGGATTGGTAAACTTTGGACAATCTCATAGCAAGTTGCTAATTTGCCTGCATTTAAAGCATGCTCCCATGTCTCGATGGCATCATCCCCAATGAGTTCTCCCACAAGTAGGGCAATTGGAATAGTGCTACTTCTGGGGTTAGTAGGACCTTGGTTACCTAAACTAGTTGAGCCCGTATTTACCTTCTTTGGGGGGCATAGAACTGGATCTTCTGTTGACTTTTTCCCAAAATCGCTTCTTTTGGCTCGTTTCCTCAAAACGCAAGGCTTTAATCCCTTTTTCAGTGATGTATACTTGATCTACCACTCCCGCATATGTTGTCATTTTCAGAACCTCAAACTTGTTTCTGATGTCATCATTTAAGCTAGATTCAAACTTCCTAGTTTTCCGAGCTTCGATGGGAATGACATAAGTCACAAATCGAGCTAGTTGCGTGAACTTGCTCTCGTATTCAGCCACCATCATTGTTTCTAGATTTAGGTGTATGAATTCCGATGCCTTTTGTTATCTTAGTGAATCCAGAAAGTATTTTCGTAAAATACTTCCAAGAATCTTGCCCAAGTCACAATCTCTTCTTTTTCTAGGGTAAGAAGCCACCATTCCTATGCATCGTCCTTGAAGGTGAACGTGGCAAAGGTTACATTTTGTCTTTCAGTACAAGGTAGAACGCAAAAAATCTTCTCCATGTCCTTTACCCAAGCTTCTGCTACTAGTGGGTTTGGACTGCCAGTAAATGTGGTGGGTTTCAAATCCTAGAATTATTTTATCGTAACTGGTTCTTCTCGCCATTCGGGCATTCCATTATTTATGTTGGTTTGTAGGGCTTGCAAAAAATTGGTAACTGCTCTTTCCTTGATTCTTTCCATTGACTCTATTCCACTAACTGACGACCCGGTTCCGTTACCATCATTGGCCATTACTACATACTAGATTTAAGTAGAAATAATGTAATAAGCGTAGCATCACATTTATAAAGCATCATATATATATATAACATACCGGTTTTACTACAAATATGGTATTAGTACAACATACTTATAGAGTAGTTAGGAGTCAGTGTCTAATCCTACTAATACAAAAATAAGGATCAAATTAATCATGGTCAGTTCACCAAAGTCTCCTTGTCGAGCGTCTAAAATGGACCGTTAAGCAACCATGAGAACTGCCTCTGAAAGACTGAGCCATGAAACAGCGCTACAAACTTATTATGCATAAGGGACTCAAACTCCCAGCCACTATGCTCTAGCCCAAAACAACGCCATACAACCTGGACCATATAAACAAGAATACTGTGATCGTATCCCCAGAACTCTTGTCCCGTAATCCGTACAGGTACCTCTAAGTATATCACGCTATTAGTGAAATCCACAGCTAGGACATGGATAATGTGCTGTAGGGAAGGTGTCGTAGCATACATGTGGCTACTGAGGTACGCATGTCCTCTTCTCTCAGCAAAGCTCAAGGGCAAATGTGCAACCACAAAGTGCAGATGTCCTAGATCTGGCGTAAGACCAATAACACGGGTCGGTCCAATATATCTCTCATGTGTGTTGCCACGACTAAGTCTCCAAAACCAAAAATCCTCATCAGGGTCAGCCTGTAGGTAAACAGGTCTCCCCATGAGCCGATCAAGTCCTGGGTGGGCTTGTCTAACGATACTCTCTAAATGTCCTCACCCCTCTATTAGATTCGGGATAAGGTGGGCTCTAGGAGGCTCGAACCAGAATAACTCTACCAGATTTTCCATTTTCTACAACACAAGAAAACTTAGCCTAACATTTATTTATAAAACGATTTAATCGTATTGGACAAACTACGGTGATTTTTTTTATTTTTTTGGTTTTGTAAAAGCTCTAATACCACTTTTATCATGACCCAACCTCGGTACCCAAGGGTTAGGTGTCACGACAATAATAATTCTAAAATTTATGTATTAATAGCGCAAGCGGATAAAATAAAATAAAATAAATGGATACCAAAAAAAGTTTATTTAAAAGAAAAATATTCATTTAGACCTTATTTAATTGACAATAATTCTAAAATTTCTATATTAATAACGCAATAGGATAAAATAAAATAAATGGGTACCAAAAAAAAGTTTATTGAAAAAAAAAATATTCATTTGGACCTTATTTATTTACAAGAGTCTGATCAGGATTATAGATAGTAAATAAAATTTAAAAAAATGCAATTTATTCACAATCGCGATCTCGCTAAATCTCATCACCTGAAAGGGGATAATAGCTATAAGCATATGGCAGAGTGAAAAATATTATACAATGAGCATGAGGGTATAAAAAAATTACCATGGATAATTCTTTAGGCTAAAATAGCTAAAAATTTAGTTTGAAAAAATAAATTACTTAAACAACAAAATTTTAATTCAGAAATCATATAAGCAAAATAATCATAACCACGATACAGAACAGAACACAGATCACTACAGTGACAATCAAAGCAGAGGTCAATGGATCCATGACAAATAGAACGCCACAAAATGACCAATCAGAAGCCAATGGTTTATTTAAGTCCCCCAAGGCATGAGACACCCGTTGTAGTACTTACAAAAATAATTATTTATATAACTATTGTCAAATAATTTCTAAAATTTAAACAAATCATATCCATAGGTTTTAATTTAAGCAAATAGAGTCCAGAAAATAATCAATGTAATTGAAATATTAATATAACTTATAAAACATGAATTTCATAAAATAAATTATAGTAATTATATACATAAAATATATTATGGTGACTCAAAGTATAATATAACTCACATTAATGTTGATTCCTACTATTTATCCCACTTGATTCTCCGAGCCATACTCCTTGCTTTTACTTTCTTTTCTTACTG